CTTCAGTTTGGTAGATCTGTTTGGTTTTGATTGTTTTGGGAAGTTAGTTTATGTGTAGAATTTTCGGGTGCGTTCCTCAAGTGGTTATTTGGGTTATGAGTTTTAGTAAGGATCGATTTCAAGGACGAAATCTAATTTAAGTGGTGGAGAGTTTTAACATCAGAAATCTTGAAAAGAAATTGTTGAGAATAACCTTATTTCTAGGTCAACTCGATGAGTTGGAGGGACCAACTCGTCGTGTTGAATATGGATGGATCGCGAGGGTTTAATGAAGCAACTCGACGAGTTGGGGAGCCTCAACTCGACGAGTTGGTAGCTGGGAAGGAAACCCTAATTTTTAGGGTCTTGCACCCTATTTAAAGTCCTTAAGTTCTTTTTCTGGCCTCCTTATTAGCCTCCATTGTTGTCCAAGCCCTAAAACAAGTTGTAGCCTCCATTGTCAAGTTTTTGGAGCCTTGGAAGGAAGTTTGGTGTTCATTTTGTGCATTGAGAAGGAATTAGAAGATCTTGAAGTTTCTAGCTTGGAGAAAGAAGTCTTGGATCCAGAATCACTCCATTTCTTGCAGTCACATTAAGGTATCAAGTTCATACCTTGATTTATGGATGATTAGATCTCCTTATTTTGGGTTTTGTTGTGCTTTGGCCTCTTTTTGGGGATGATGATGGAGTAAATTCACTATAGGGGTTGTTCCTTCAGATCTGAGTTGGTTTTGGTACCCTTGAGCTTAAAGGTACAACCTTTATAAGGATTTTGGTGTCATGCATGCATTAAGTCAATTATTAAGTCCATTCCAAGCTTAAGAGCTTCATTTAGACATGCATGAACGTTAAGTTCGCAACTTTACGCGGTTTTCCAGATCAAGGAAGACAGATCTATGTTTTGGAGTCACGTCCTCGTGGATTAAGTGCTTAATGTGTTAAGAGGTGGGTTTCTGGCGAACTCGGCGAGTTTGTTGGATAAACTCGGCGAATTGGCTCGGTTTTTCCTGATATTTTCAGATTGATATAGGAACTCGACGAGTTGGAGGGTCAACTCGGCGAGTTGACTTGGTTTTTCCCGATCTGTGCAGATTGATGGAGAAAATCGTCGAGTTGAAGAACAACTCGGCGAGTTGGGTAAACTTAGACCGTTGACTTAGACCTTTGATTTATGTCTTTGAACGAGTTTGTCCCAAGGGGTGCTTGAAGTAATCTGAATTGTAATAAGGAAAATTATAGGCTTAGGGTAAGACCCATATGGGGTTGGGCCCAATTTGGAAAATTAGGCCATTAGTGGGACTTTGTGGATCTTTTGGTTTTGGGCCTCAGTTTTGGTTCATGATTGGGTCAGGGGTAAATGGTCATTTTACCCCAAGTAAAGATTATGGATTATAGCATGGAACCCAATTGCTAATTGGGTTTGTTGTTGGTATTGATAGCTCGGGAAGCCGGCAGGGCAGCAGCTAGGGATTTCTTTCGGGGAGTTTCTGCATTCGAGGTGAGTTTTCCTCACTGTATTTATGGGTCGAAGGCACCAATACCGGCCCCTTTGGATTGTTATCTTGGTATATCGTATTATTGAGTACTGTGTTGATCTGTTAGATCTGTATCCTGGTAGATAGGATGATGCTATGCTTAGTGATCTGTTAGATCTTCCTGTTATTTTTTTTGGCTATATGTTTTCTAGTAGTATGTGTTGATGTAGTGTGGTTGGGTTGAGACTGTACTGCTTTGTGCTGCCAGTCAACAAACCCGGTAATGTTTATATCGGTACATTTTATGTATGCTTATCTGTTATGTATATGTCGACATGGTTTGTGTGTGGTTGGGTTGAGGCGGACCTGCTTTGTGCTGAAGGCCAACAGACCCAGGGCGTCCCGGATAGACTGAAGGTCAGTGGGGCGTACCAGTTAGGCCGAAGGCCTAGAGAACATTCTAGATAGGTTGAAGGCCCGAGGTGGTGTACCAGTCATGCTGAAGGTTCTGTGAGCGTACCAGATAGACTATAGGCCAGTGGGGCGTTCCAGTCACACTGAAAGCTCTGTATGCATACTGTTATTTGTATATGTTATCTGGTTGGGTGTTGGTACTTTGGGGGAACTTACTAAGCTTCGTGCTTACAGTTTTGGTTTATGGTTTCAGGTACTTAAGTGGATCGTGGCAAGGTGAAGTCGTGACCGTACACATCCTCGCGTTTTGGACTTATGATTTTTGGGAAACTCTGATAATGTGAATGTTTTGAAAACTATGTTGAAAGAGATTTTGATTTTTACATAATCTTTTGGGAACAACGGTTTTTTAAACACTTCTATAGAAAAAGGGTTGTTTTGGAAAGTTTTAAATTTTATGAAATTTTATGGATGTTACATTAGATCTTCTGCATATTGATCCTTTTGATGAGGATATAGAGGCTTGAGACCCATCTATGCCACCTAATCCTTCATCTCATGACACACCCACTTCTTTAGAGAGTTCCTCGACTCATCCTGCTCCTGAGTCTGCCCCTTTTACTATTGAGATTGAAGATCCACCTCCACCACCACCACACCTCAAGAGGTATACTCGTCCTATCAAGTCCACCAAGGCTCCAGATTTTTCTTATTCTTCGTACTCAGGATTATTTGCTTCCTTTATAGCCAGTATCCACCATTTTTCTGAACGTGAATTGTATAAAGAGGTTGTATTAGATCCTCTTTGGCAGAATGTTATGGATGAATAATTCATTGCACATCATCAGACTCATACATGGGATTTGGTTTCCTTTCCTCATTGGAAACATACGATTGGTTTTGGTTGGGTGTACAAGATAAAAACAAAATCTGATGGGCATGTTGAGCACTACAAGGCCAGACTTGTAGTAAAAGGGTATTTCCAACAGTATGGGTTTGACAATGAGGAGACCTTTCCCCCAGTGGAAAAGATGACGACAATCCGTACTATGATTGTAGTTGCACCCGTTTGATAGTGGAAGATCTTTCAAATGGTTGTCAAGAATGCATTTTTGAATGGTGACCTCCATGAGGAGGTTTATATGTCTCCTCCCCCAGGAATTCAGCATCAGCCGAGTGAGGTTTGTTGGCTTCAGAAATCTTTGTATGGTCTCAAGCAAGCACCTCGTGCTTGGTTTGAGAAATTCTCCATAGTTATCACCTCTCTTGGTTTTGTCCAGAGTAATCATGATTCGGATTTGTTTATTAGATGCTAGAGTGCAGGACAGATTCTTTTGTGCTTATATGTGGATGACATGATCATTACTGGTGATTACCATAGTGGTATTGAGTCTTTGAAGCATGATCTAGCTCATCATTTTGCTATGAAGGATTTGGGCTTGCTGTGTTATTTCTTGGGTATTGCGCTTGCTCAGTCTAAGAAAGAGTATTTTCTCTCTCAGACTAAATATATATCTAACTTGTTTATATGGGCGGGCCTATCTGACAATTAAATTGTAGGTACTCCTTTTGAAACCAATGCACAATACTCGCCTACTGATGGTTTTCCTTTGTCCGATCCGAATCTTTACCGGACTGTTGTGGGAAGTTTGGTTTATCTCATAGTTACTCGTCAGGATATTGCTCATGATGTTCATGTTGTCAGTCAGTTTGTTACTACTCCTACATCTGTTCATTGGGGAGCTTTACTCCGTATTCTGAGATATCTTCGTGACACTCAGTTTCGGACCCTCTTGTTTCCCTCGACGTCTTCTCTTGAGTTACGTGCCCATAGTGATGCTGATTGGGATGACAATCATCATGATCGTAAATCCACTACCGGATTTTGCGTGTTTCTTAGAGATTCTCTCATTTCATGGAAGAGCAAGAAACAAGATGTTCTCTCTAGATCTTCCACAGAGGATGAATATCGTGTTATGACTGTGACAACATGTGAGATTATCTGGTTATAGTGACTTCTTGCGGATATGGGGGTCACATTTCTTCACCTACTCCCATGCATTGTGATAACAAAAGTGCGACACAAATTGCGAAGAATTTAGTTTTCCATGAGCAGACAAAGTACAGTGAGATTGATTGTCACTTCACATGTCATCACTTACGGCTCAGAACCATATCGTTTCCGTTTGTTTCATCAGCCTTGCAGCTTGCGGATATTTTTACAAAGGCTCTATCGTCATCTCGTTTTCGTTTTTTGTGTGACAAACTTTCAATACTTATTGTTGCGGCATTGCGAGTTTAAGGGGGATGTTAGCCCATATATTGTTAGTCAATATGTTTACGTGTCAAGCCTTTAGCCCCATTAGGGTTTGGTCTTAGCTAGTATTTATTTATTTTTTAGCTCTTTTGTTTTTTTATTAAAAACTTTATAACTTTTCTTTTTCAATAATTTCAATAAATATTATCGCTTCAAATGTCTCATACGGTTGCTTGTAAAAAAAATTGAGTCAGGCTAAAATAGATCTAACTTAATCGACAAACTATTAAATAATATAATCTCTACTTTTTGGTGTAATGTAAACCTTATGTAATAGCCTCGTGGTTGTCTGCCTTTGCTAGCCTCTTGCTAGTATAGGTGTTTTTATGCAAAGTAATGGATAATAGCTATAAAAGTATTTTAACGTGCAAATAACGAAGCAAATAATTGGACTTCAATAAATTTTATGAAAATCTAAAATCGAAAATAATTTATAAAATACATAAAACATTGCACATTAAGAAACAAACCGACATTGCCCATTAAGATATCATTTGGTTGGAAGTTTGATCTTATTTTTTATTTTGAAACAAAAGTCTAACTAAAACAAAATTTTGAAATTTTCATATAAAAAAACCCGTGCATATTTTGATTTTTTCTAGTTTTTTTTGTTCCCTTTGCGTGTTGTATAAAGCCATGTTCCAAACAGTATAAGTCTATAAGATGGTCCTCCATGGCATTTCACATCGTCTTTTTCCCAGACCTCCACCCCTCCTTTGCTAGGGTTTCTTTAATAAGACATCTCTTCTCTTTCAAGATTTATTTATAGAGAGAGATACAGAGAGAGAGAGAGACAGGGAGAGGGAGGGAGAAAGATGAGAGCAACGAAGAAACGGCAACTCGTGATAAAAAAGAGTATAGCTCCAAGTGTCTCGGTAATTCGAACTGTTCATTACGGGCAGTGCTTGAAGAACCACGCGGCTAATATTGGTCTGTACGCTGTGGACGGCTGCAGAGAGTTCATGGCAAGTGGAGATGACGGTACACGAGGTGCTCTGACGTGCGCCGCCTGTGGCTGCCACCGGAATTTCCACCGGAGAGATGTAGACGAGATTGCTTGTGAGTGCTCCTCCACTTCTGACGATTAATGCGTTGGCTGGAAACGCCAACAAATTCATATAATATCTCTGTGATATTGTGAATATATATTTAATTAAATTGGTATTAGGAAACCATTTCTAGAATTTACAGTATTTATTCTTCATTTCTCTCTATTATTTGATATTGTTGATCATGTCAGGCATTTTTTACGGAAAAAACTTTGTTAAATTTACATATTGTTTGATTTATATATATTGGGTTTTAAATGCCATAATGGTATTGTAGATCATGTCAGGCATCTTTTACGGAAAAAACTTTGTTAAATTTACATATAGTTTGATTTATATATACTGGGTTTTAAATGCCATAATGGTATATATTTTTATCGATTAATACTGCACAATGGCTTTTGATTGTAAATTTACCGGTCACATGTTTTATCGGTTGAAGCATGGTTTCATAGTTTGTTTAAAACATTGTTGAATCGGTTGATAAGAATGAGTAAAATATTGTTATAGAAGTAAATATTTAACTGATGGCACTTAAGAAACCGATTCTAAGATAAAATGTTCCAAATTTGGGTTCTAAATACGTAGTTATATCTAGAAAAAACCCGCTTTACAGCATTAATTAAAACACGTTGTACAAGTGCGCATGTGAGGTGCAGTTATGTTAGTCGTTAACGTCTCCTGTCAATTTCAAAAACTAAATCATTAATGTTTAGTTAGCTAAACATGAATATCAATACATATTAAAAGCCATTATGAATATAATCACTACAATATATCTTACTTTCACAAACCGACGTCTCTGTTAATCACTGTTTAAAGTATTTAGCGACAGATTAACAATAGACAGAAGCTTGTCGCTTATCGCATATGGCAATGAGGTATACATATCACTACAAGGAAAACGATCATTAGCAGCGACAAAAGTCGCCGGTAATAAGTCAAGTTGTCGCCGGTAATAGTAATAGCGGCGACGCGTCGCCGGTAATAAGTCGCCGCTACTACTTCGTCGCTATTGATGAACTTGTCACCGCTAATGATAGATGTCGCCGCTAATGATAGACGTCGCCGCTAATGACAATCTCGCCGCTAATGATAGAAGTCGTCGGTAACACTGTCGCCGGTAATTACAATTTTCATTTTTTTAAATTTTTTTTTGTAATTAACGATTTTGGTTGCCGATAATAAAGTACTCGGTAATTACATAACAACATTCGAT